GATTCTGTTTTATTATATTGACAGGAATAAAACATTCAGACTGTTGCCCATATATTTTGAGCTATAGTTGGGTGTTCTAAAGGTCAATCTTTGAGATGAGAAATGCCATCAAAATGGATTACATGGTACGTCTCCTCTGTTACCAGTTTGCTGGTGTGAATCTCTCACCAAATATCCACCAGAGCACAAGCAGCTTCCTCCACTTGCTTCTGAAAAGTGCCAAATATTATAAATCTGTAAGGCAGCAGTGTTCAGTTAACCCACTGATGTATGTTAAACGTTGTCTTGAACTTAGCTGTGAAGTCAGATGCCAAATTTGGAAGAGCAGTCCTACAATCGCTGTTCAACTGATGCACCTGATACTCCTCATTTCCACTATCCTCAGGGGATACTGCAGTGGAATCCACACTTGACACATACTTGACAAAGAGAATGGTTAATTACCCTTCAGTAACTGTGGTTCTTCTGAGATGTCTTAATCAGTGTCCAACCCGTGTCCTACCTTCCATCCCCATTTTTCAGTCCTCCGCTACCATGAGCTTTGAATTGCAAACAAACTGAGGAAGGGTCGCGGCCACTCTTCCATTTATACCCTCGCACAGGAGCACAAGGAGGTACAGGATAAGTGTGCAGCTCTGATGGTCACTGCTATTAAGCAAACAAAACAAACCGATCTTACATGTATGAAGCACAGGCACACCTACAGTGGGATCCACACTAACAACATCTGGAAGAACCACACTTTAAATTTAAACTTTCAGAGTCAGATTCCCTTGGGTACTTGTGACTGTTTTGTTTTGCTCTGCAGGAGCACAAACCAGTTGGAATGTACTAGCTAGTTAAGCAATATTTCTTGCTGTTTGTAGTGTCAGAGCAGCACAAAGAAGATGAAGTGTACATTCCAAATTCCCCTCTCCATCCTCTTTGCCATATTCCTGTGCTTTCCCCTGAGTCCTCAGTTTCACTTTATGCCTTTCCTTTTGAGTACCTCTGAGGGCCAGGTAGTCTACTCTAACAGACATATTTAGCATTAAGGGTAACTTTTTGCTGATCTTCATAATTGAAAGATTCTCTTTCAGTGGAGGCTAGCTCACAATTATCTCCTTTAGCAAAACTCTCAAAGAATTGCTCTCTGAAAATGCCCACCATAGCTTATTGATAAGGGCAACCTGTGGCCTCAATATAAAGATCAACACTGCTGCCTCCTGTTTCCAGTGGGAGTGAGGCCAAATGGCCATCAAGGAAGATATTAGCACCCTCACTGTCAGGAGGCAGAAAGGAGCACAGTAAGGAGCTGAGGAGAAGAGGTGGTTACCATATTTGCTAAGAACAACTTCTTGTCAAAAACAGACCACAATAGGATGTGGCAGCCATTTTGAAAGTGGTTAATTACTTGCATTGCTTTTCAGGAACATTATTCTTCACCAGAGGCTGAAGAATAATGGATAAAAGAGGACTTTGTTTTTGAAAAAGGATATCTATTGCACTATATCTACTCAAGATCCACCTCTGTACTGGTTTGTATAGCTAGAGAATGCCTGGGTTAAGAATTCAGGACAAAGGATTGACAGAGTACTAAATTTCTTACAAGATCCTTTTAAAAAAAATCTGTAAAGCTAATATAAATTCTCAATTTGCTGCTCAAATAGGAAATGCTGTAATTATTGGGAAGACACTATTCTTGTTTTAAGTGTGACATTCAACTCAATCTTAACTATGGATCCATGGCCAGTGTCTCTGTTATATATTGGTATACTTAACAAATTTATCACTCTTATCCTCCCTTTGCCTTATTATCTTTCTCAATAATTAGTGGCCACTCTTCTTAATGTCCAAAAAATTTGAATTGTCAGATCTGTGTAGCACCATTTGTGTCATTTACTTTGTCTATAAAGTACCTCACATATATTTTTGAATGCTGTGTGAACTATAAACGCTATTAGCAAGGCTTAAATGCTGAATGTTTGTAAAATGCTTGGAGATCCTTTTATAGAAAACACTGTAAAAGTATAAAGGGTTTTTGTGTTTTTTACTTTTAAAATGATGTTTGTTGTAAATGTCAGCCTTGTATACTCAAGATCATCACTGGCATGTTGTCTTATTTGCAGTGTCGTAGCCATGTCAGTGGAGAGGCAAGGAAGAGAGGAGCTTTCTACAGACCTATTCTGGTCTGGTCTGAAGCAGAGCTCTGTGGCACTTGAAAGCTTGTCTCTCACCAACAGAAGATTGTCCAGTAAAAGATATTGCCTCACCCAACTTGTCTGTTTCATCAGACTGATAAACTTTTTTTACAGTAGAAGCCTTGTCATAATAATCAATATTATGGCACTGTAAAAACTGGATCTTATTTCTATACTAGTATTGCTATACCTACATTCTAAGTCAGAAATGGAGAAACTGATTCATTATATATATTATATAATGACCCCAAAATGTGTGACGCGCTTTAAAGAAATGCAAGACTAGAAAACTCTGCCCTGAATAGCTTACAGTCCTAGAAGCTTGATCCTACAAGCACTTGAACGCGTGTGTTGTTCTTACTAATGCAAGTTGTTCCGTTGATTTTTTTTTTGATCTATAAATATGGGTTTGCAGGATTAATTCTACAACTTTAAAAAAAACTTCTGTTTTTATTTAACCATAGGCCAAACTTCTGTTTGTGCTTTTATTCCCCCGTTATTGCTGCTTGACTTAATACTGAACTGCCACTTTTTAAATAGTTTTATTTTTAACACTTGGCTGTTATGTTTTAATACATTCCTGTTTTCTTTCTATACTCTTCAGGAAGAGTTACGTTTTGTTAACCCTTTTCAATTACAGTATCCCTTCTGTTATGAACTTCATTTTAAAAAAATAAGAGGCACAACTAAAACCACATTTATTTGAAGTTGAAGTGTCAGCTATCCTTTTTTTATGCTTCTGTGCTTATTGTTTTTTGTGAGAATTAAAAGCAGAAGTGCTGAAATACCATGTATGAACCTATTTTGGTAATTCAATACAAAACCTGACTCTGCTTTCCTTGTAAACATATATTGAAGTCAGTGGGAAATTTGGATCACATGAATTGTAGGATCAGAGCTCCTATTTCATAGATCAAGAGTTGTGATGGGTCAGAACTCTGCGTTTCTTTCCCCAAACTGAATTTCCACACTTCACTTATCGCTGTGCTAAATTCTGCCCTTCCCACTTTCTCAACGTCGTCCTTCCAAATTCTCCCCAATGTCTTCTGAATGATGCCACGTGAATGTGAAATGTTTTTTAGCCTGTAAAAGTTTGACTGACTTCTCATGCTTGGTTGACTGGAAATAGCTTTGTTTTTAACTTCAGAATTAAGTATCTAGAACTGAACCAAAACTACTGCTTTGGCACTGTTTGTTTCAAAACCAGTTTTATTCAGCAAATTTGCACTTAGGCATTTTGGTCCTGGAAACACTTTTGCATATGCATAACTTTACTTGCATGAGTAGTTCCATTGAACTTGATGGAACTATTTGCTGAGTGCTACTTCAGCAAGTAGTTCCATCAAGTTCAATGGGACTACTCATGGGAGTAGTTGTCCACATGCATTCTTTACAGGATTGGAGCCTTAAACTGTGTTTGGAGCATACACAGTAAGTGAATTAAAGTATGCTGACAAATTTGAAAGGGTTCAGGAAGGAGCAACAAGAATGATTGTCTGGAAAAACCTGTATTACAGTGAGAACTGAAGGTGAATTTAGTTAATTCAAGAAGATTTAGATGTACCTTACAGCAGTCATAACTTCCTAAAGATTTAGAATCTTCTTTTGTGCAAGCACCACTCAACATCTTTTTCTGTCTACTGGTGTCTAGTGACTTAAATAATCTTAATGCTAATACCATAAAACAGAGCCTCAGCTAACACCATGCAGGTGTGCAAGTGTAACCTGGGATGAATAAATTGTGAGTCTTTGTAAATTGCAATATAAGGACTAATGGTGGGTTGCTTGCAAACAAATAGGCTTACCAGTTTGTGTGTCTGGCTTTGCCTATGGCTTTTTTCTTAAATTGTCTTGGACTTCATATATGAATTATTTGACTACCTGATTTGAGGGCTGCTATTGCTTTGTAATAGCAAAAATTATCTTAATTGTGAATCTAAATATATATAGTATAGTAAATCTCTCTCATTATTTATTTAATTTATATATATATATATATATATATATATATAATATACATAATGTCATGGTTAAGTTGTAGTTGGCAGTGGATTACCTCCGGCCGTACTACTCTGGGTTTTTAACTTGTCATTTTATAGACTAAGCTGGGTTGATGTTAGTAGCTGAGTGAGACCTCATATGAAGAGATCTCTTCCAGATTCCAGCTACTGTTTTTCTTCCTCATATAGTACATGGTGGTTCTTCAGGTCCCTTCACCATGCCAAATGTTCCCATTTACTTTCATAGTCTTATAAGAAACACAATTATATTCAAAACTATTTAGTGCAAAGTGTAAGTTGATTTTAATTACATGGACGTCAAGAAAGTAAGGTTTCCATGGCAGCCTTATCTCTGCTCCTTTGCACAGTCGCATTGTGTGGATCTTTAATTACATAACTTGTATGCAGTGATGCATACGTGTGCAATGTATATAATGTGCATTTGGATAATCTTGTTGGCCACAACATGTTTGTATCAACTGCTCCACACTACAGAGATGGCGGAAAAACAGTACCTTTTTGTACTGATTTTTGTTCATATGGTATAGAGTCCCAACTTGGTGATTAAGCTAGACTCCTTAAATTGAAAATAGTCTTTCATAAAATGAAAGGCAAGGTACCATGGGCTGATTACATTTTCTGGTAAAAGTTGAGTAAAAGTTACTTCTGGACCATGTCTCCACTAGTGGACCAAGATTTGCATTCCTCTTCTGTGCTTTGTTTTCAGTTTGTTATAGCATAGGCATGTTGGTACAAAACATTTGCATTTGATTGCTGTTGCCTTAGTTATAACCTAACTTTTTATTTTTTCTCTCAAAAGGCGTCTAAACAGAAATAATCTTCAGTTGCTTTCTGAGTTGCTGTTTCTGGGGACTCCAAAACTATACAGGCTGTAAGTAGTCAAAATGCATTATTAATTTTGGAAACCTTGCAAGTCCTACATAATGTACTTTACTTTTATATTTTTATCTATGAGTGGTGGGTGTGTATAGGTGGTATCTTATCTGTCCTTTTCTGAAGTGTGCTGCTTTTTTTACCTTGTCAAGAACAATGTAAGTTATTTCAATTTATTATTTTCTTTGATTACTCTCAGTTGTCAACTGCAGTGTGTGTTTTCATTTTCTATCTCCGATACACAAACTCTGGTCTGTCTGTGTCTCTCTCTCTCTCTCATCCCCCCTTCTAAAAATTTAAATGAGCTTTTGGTGGAAGAATAGGCTGGTTTTTTCCCTAATTTTTTCTTTTTTTTGTCTTTCAACAAAGCACAAAAAAGCCAAAAGTAATGGCTTTAGAAGTGTTGGACCGGTGATATTACACAAAGGCTGTTCATAATTTTTGTTTCTGGAATATTGTTCTGTATTTATATAAGGCATGTCTTGGACTAAAAACCAGTCCTTTTACTACAGTATATCTGTGTTGCCATCTTACATACCTGTTGCTACACTGGTAACCTACTGTTTTGACAGATTACTAAAATGAAAAGTACAAAATGGTAACCTTTTTAGTTACACTGCACTTTATAAAGCTGCTATTAGTGTTGCTTTTGATTCTATTTTATGGTTATTAATTTAAATTGGAATGTTTCAGCCAATGATGTTCTGGAATCTAGTTTTTCTTTACAATATGAATGTCAAGTAGACTTAAGTTATTTATCTAACACAAAGCAGTCTCTACTGATTTATTTTAATAAAATTTCAAGGTAACTTTAATTGCTTTAATCATAGTATGTAGGACAGAAGAGAACACAGCATGACATTTTAACAGCAAGCTCTGAAAACACAGCACATAATTTGAAGCTTGTTTCAAAGACACATTTTTGATATTTCATTGTAGGCTTCGCATGAGACTGTACTGCTGGAATTGTTATAGGTTAAATGGACAAAATAGTTTGACAAACTAACCTATTCAATTCCTCAGTAAGCAATCAGTAGTCAGGAGGATATATTTTCCTGATTATTCCCTTGTGTGGTTGGAAAATGAGGGAAGATAGGATAGCTATCTGATCAAATTCACTCCAGTTCACAATATTCTTGAAGCTGAAGTTGTTCAGGTAAATTTTCATAATGAAGGTTTCACTTTTGGAAGTTGACTTCTGTTCTAATTTCCTTAAATGATTCATTCGGCTTCCTTTCTAATATGAAATAAGAGTCTTAAAATGGCTAAATTGTACCACATGCATATTATCATATACTTGTCTACTATCTGCCTTTGCTTTTGATGTAAGTGTTTGAATCAAAAGCTTTTTCTGTAAATAAAACACTTGGATTACTAGACAGCAGTATGCTAAGGGGTTCTGCTCTGGCAAATTCCTTCCTTTATCTAACAAAATTAAGTACACACCTCTCAAATATTACAGTATGTGTGCAGTATATATTACAAGTTAGTAATTCAACCATTTTAAAAAAAAAATCCCGAGCAAACATGGAAACATTAAACCTGAAATTTTGTATTTCCATATCAGGAAGGGTAAGAGGTAAGGATGTTCTATTTTATTCCACTTTTAGGTTAGTGTTTGTTCAATCTTATTCCATTTAAAATAGCAATGAGATAATTTACAGATTAAAATGGATGTACATTTTAAGGTATACTCAAATTTGAATAAACTTGATAGAATAAGTTTAAAAAATATATATTGGATATAGGACACACATACATAGTTAAATCTGGTGGAAAGTAAGAGATGGTTGGCTTAACAGTATTAAATTTCTTCTGCCCCAGGGTTATTGTTGATCAGACCATGAAAGTGAATGTCTGGTTATAACATATGCATGTTTTAAAAATACACTAACTGTACTGAAATATATAGTTTAGCTGTATGCTTAATTAAGTCAGAACAGCAAAAGTAGGCATTTGTTTGGGAATGATGTATGTTGGTGGTTCATGATCAGGAGGCTTTGGATTTTATATAGCTTGTCCACCATGCCAGGAATGAGTTGTGTATATTTTTTTTGTTTTGTTCTTGTTTAAACTTCGTGTGTATATGTAGGAACTCTTACATAAACTTATACATACAGAGCTATAGTCTCTTTGAAAAAAGGAGAATCAAAGTTGTCTATGGACACTTATATACCAAAAAGTGTTACATATTTAATTTTCCCAATTTTTTTAAAAAAAGCCTTAACATGCTAGTGTGTGTACTGTATGTTTCTCAGTATGCTGTTCAGCTTCTTGAATGATAATTACCATTTGGCCCTTGGCTGTAAATGAGATGCCAGGTGAAGAAGCACATATGCTTGTTGTGTAGCCTAAATGCCATATAAAAGAGCGAGGGTACACTGTATATGAATTATGATTAGACATGGTTGGTTGCCGCCAGCGGCCGGTTATGCTTTCCCTTTGCTGTCTGCTCCAATTTCTCTTTGGACGGGTTGAGAGAGCACTGCATGTTCAGGTCAAGATGTTTGCTCAGAAATATAGTACAGTTGCAGCTGTGTTTGTTGGAGTAGGAGACTAGTTTAAATAGCATTACCATTTATCCAGTCCATTAACAGAACTCTGTAAAATAATACCAACTCTGCATAAACTACAGGACAGTGTAATAAAATTACAAGCACTTGTTGACAGACGGGAAGTGTAAGTAAAGGAAAGTGATAGGTTGAGAATTTAAAAGAGACAGTACATAATTTTGTCTGCCTGAATATTCTCTATTTTGGAAATCTAGTTTGTATTTTTCAGATAGTTAATGCTGCAGGAAAATAATCTTACAAGAAAACTCCTAAAGCTAGGAAATATTTTACTTTACAGTATGGCTTAAACTATTTTAACCTATTTAGAATTGAACTGGAAAGATGGTTTGGCATAAAAACTCCATTTGGGCCGTACTAATGGTTTTTTAAAGATAATTATAAAAACTTGTGGGTATATTGAGAATATTTTTGTATAATTTCTTAGTTACTTGATTTTTCAAGAAGAGCTTAAATTCTTTTCTTGTAGAATAAGGATTTTGACAAAATAGTAGTGTATAGATACCATTAGTGTGGGTCCTGTTGGATAATATTTAAACTTTTTTGTATGAAGCCATTGTTCAAAAAGCATTTTTCATCGCAAGAACAGCCTGCATTGTTTAACAACCCATATGACTACTGACACTGACTTGTCTAGCGTCAGCAATAGTATCTTTAAAATAAAGAACTATTACGGACTAGTGGGTTTATCTGAGGCAAATAGTATTTGACTACTTAATTTGGCTTGTTAGATCACAGTTCATTGCATTGCCATTTGCTGCAGGATACCAAGAGCCATGTCCCAAGCTCTTTGAGAGTTTGGCTTTAAAAGATACCTTTTTAGGTGGTAGCATGAACATGATACAGACTTCTGTGCACAAAACCTGTACATTTTGATTTCAACAATTTAGAAGTTGGGATGAGGGAGTGCCTCATGCTTGAGCTGACATTTCAGAAATATTTGTTCAGTCATTATAGCTCAATTTAAACAACCTTTGGAGGGGATAGTTTAAACTTAATCTAGGTACCAAGACTTTTGGTCCACTATACACCTTTCATTTTTACCTCTAGCATAGTTGAAAAGAAGTATATGTGGAAGAAGACATTTCACATATTTAAAGGAAAAAGTCTTGGTGTAATCTGACTATAAGAAACACCTAGTTTAGTGATGTCCGCTTAGTGGTTTAAAATCCTTGTAGCTAAGCATAAAAGCAGAAAACTGCATGGGGAGCCCTTGCAAAAAATTCCTCCTCCTGAATTAATTTCTGCCAGCTATGATTAAAGTGTGTGGTACTAGATGTGTCAGACACCATAGTTCTCTGCTTCATTTTACTCTTGGCCTCCTTGGCCCCTGCCACAATAAATCCAACAATGTTATGCAGGAATTGCAGGTTACAGTTGCTACGGTTACCGTTGTCTGGTCAGATCGACATCATTACTCATCTAGTGAGCTGCCATGATAGCTACCGCTGATTTTCTTTGCTGGGAACACCGAAGATGTTTGACGCAAAGAGGATGAAAGTTCTTCAGATTGCTGTCATATCTCTTTGTAACTGCTCTGAGAGCACCTACTTTTAGCATCATTGAAGTTGGTACCTCTTTAGCTGTCACAAGTGAACATGCTTTGTTTTCTATTTTAAAAGTAGAACCAGTCAGAGGTGAGAATGAAAAAGATGGTGCTTTTAAGGGGCTTGAAGAAAAACTTCTAATTTTCAATGTTTTTTTTAAGCTGTTCTGTTTCATTACCACTAGTATAATTGTATAGCGTACTTAAATGCACAGTTCTGCCTGTATTCCTTCTAAATATTCAAAGCAAGGATTTATTAATAATTTGGTAGATAAAAGGTTTTATCTATAATCATCTAATAATCCCTTTTGACAAAGCAAAGAGAATTCTGTCATGAAAACTCCTAGAGATGCTAAGCCTCCTTATACTAAAGCTTCTGACTACTTGTATTCCAAGTGGAAACAGGTGGTTTGGCGTTTAAAAATCCAATGTACAAAAAGAATGCATTCCCAATTGTAGTAGGAAATATTATTGAATGGTTCTCTTCTTTGAAGTAGCTTGTTAGATGAGTTGCTACTGAACAAAAGCAGTAATTGGCAGGTTTCAGCTGTTACGTATATGCTGTAATACTTTTAGTAAGGATTATACCTTTCAGTACAAGTGTGGTGCACGTGCAACAATCCGTTTCAAAGAGGGGTATTGATATCCGAAAATGATACAATATTATAACCTTTACCTAGATGAAATCCAAGTTTAGTTTGTTCTTCTAGTTGGCACAAGTGCTTTCTCAAGCATTAGTGAGATCACTTTAGTTTTTTATGGCTTGTTCCTATGCATTTAAGCAACTGAGAAATGCTAATAAATTCCTTCAAAATTTACTTCAATCTTCTGTTTTTGAAGGTAAATGGAAACAAATAAATCTTTATGCTTCCATAATGCTAA